AAATGTCGAATAAACACAAACACTTGTTGCGTATATTTATTTTATTTTTGGCAGAAGATGTCTTGATGTCTGGTTTTGTTCATGAAAACAATATCCTCATTGCTGCGAAGCTGACCAGAAGTTGTTCCGAATGATGTTGTAATTCCTACACCGGGAATTACAGTTAATTTTCCCGCGCTATTCCACTTGTTTATATGAAAGATCTTTTATTATTCGTTCGTCACGTTTGTGGAATCAACTTCCTGTTGAACTACGACATTTTTCTTTTTCGCGCAGTGTATTTCAACGCAAGTTTGAAGATTTTGCTGTTAATTACATGCTGGACTAATGTATTTTTTAATTTGTTTGGTAGATGCGACTTTATTCAGTTCTTTTGCTTAGATATTACCAACAATAGTCTTTACTGCTTTATTTTTACATGGCTGGGGAGCCTTTTCTGCTTTGTAGTTTGTTAATTAAAATCCATATATTATGTTAGTATATGAACTGTTTAGTTGTAAAATTAATTTAAATATGCTTTAAAGTTTGTTACTTAGAATTCATAATTTATATTAAGATATATACTGTATAGCTATAAGATACGTTTTATAATGTGAAGTACACTTTTGTAGTTTTGGCATGTTGCGATATTTATTGGCCAGATGGCTTTTTCGTGACAATAAAATAATAAAATAAAAAAAAAAAAACGTCGATACGTCCACAATTTCCAATAGATGGCTTTTCCTCTGTTGTTACGATACACAGTGTCACGACCGCGGCCAAAAATGGTCAAAACCAAGTACCTTGGAGGACAAATTTTTTGATGAGGATTGATAGAAAATACTCCAATTAGAATAAATATGAAATTTTAAATCGATATGTCCAGTAGTTTTGTCTCTACAAAGGTTCAAATCTGATAATTATTTATAAACTGATTGTTTACCATATTTTCGAAAAATGGGTGTGTTTTTCTGATGCTCAAATATTTGAATAATCAAATTAACGGTTATTATAAAAGTGTTTATTTTGGTTGCTGTGGATGTAAAAACTAGGATTCGCTTTAGTTTGTATGTATATAGATATCATATGGTGTATACAGTCGTCCACACTTGTAGTACTTAGTTCATCAAATTTGTAAAACAAATTTTGAAATTAGTGGAGCAGAAAAAAAAAGTTTAAAAAAGGTTAGCTCTAATTTTTTTTTATTTGAGTGGTGAAAAGTGTGTTATTTAAGGAATAAAAAAAATTAGCTGCGGAGTCCTGCGGTCATAAGAGTTATTTAACTTTTTTGGTGACCACCTTATGAAAAAATATGGCATATTCACGAAATGATTAGAAGCGAATGTTTTGATATGTTATGTATACAATTAAATAAGTTATTGAGGGTCAAATAGGAAGGAGAAAATGGATTCAGAATATAGTAATAATACAATATTTTACATAAAATATGCAATTAAGTAGTAAAAACGTTATTCGAAGCGGAGATATGGGAGAATTGGTTTTAAAATATAGCTTTTAAATAAATTGTCAGTTTGAAGATTATACTTGTTTATCAGATCATTTGAGACATAATTTTATAATCTAAATTTAGAGGTCGCACATGAATTACCTTTGTGGAAAGTTCAAATCTTGGTCCGATCTACCCAGTTTTTGGTCAGTTGCTTTATAGGCCTAATTAAATGTAAATTGCCAATTTTCATTGAATTTGTTTGAATATTAAAGATTTTATAGGCCAAAAAAAGGGTGGCATTCTCAAGACCCATTATATGGGAGGTATACCAAATCTTGGTCCGACCTACCCAATTTTTTGTCAGTTGCTCTTTAGGCCAATAATAAGCACATGTACCAAATTTCACTAACTTACGATAACTCCTTCTATTTTTGGCCGCTGTTTATATGAACTCGCGACATAGTGCGATATCATAACAACAGAGCAAGCAATATTAAACGTTTTAAACGCTATATCGCAAGCTTATAAAATAAAAACACATTTTTTGAATACAGATCTCTAATTTTATTTACATTTTATAGACACATTATCGCGTATTTGCGTTTTTATTGTTAACATGCCTCTGTTATGCCTGATTCCCCCTGGATATTTTTTCATAAACTATTTTATCAAAATGCATTTTGTCGAGTCTTTACGGTTTCTATGGCTTTGTAATAATTATACCATGGCTTGTTCCATCAAATCAAAATACATATTATGTGTATGTGTGTGTATTGTTTTGAATACTATGTCAAATAAATTCAAAATAAATTGAAATATATTCAAGTTTAATTGAAATGAAAATTATGATTTTAACAAGTTAGTCTGGTAGTAATTACTTTGTTATGGATGAAAAAAATATTTCATAGTATTCCCTACTGGATTTTGGAAAGAAATCATAACCTTTCATTCATTTTTCGCGTTTTTAGTTTTGTGTTGAAAAAATGTCGAATAAACACAAACACTTGTTGCGTATATTTATTTTATTTTTGGCAGAAGATGTCTTGATGTCTGGTTTTGTTCATGAAAACAATATCCTCATTGCTGCGAAGCTGACCAGAAGTTGTTCCGAATGATGTTGTAATTCCTACTCCGGGAATTACAACATCATTCGGCGAGACAGAGACCATGGTAGGGGTCTCGCATTCATAATCCAGCGAGATGTCATATACATATACCCTTACTTCCCCTCCGTCTCTTTTCCAGTCTGATCCTTTCCTGGAGGTTTTGAGCATTTCAGTTCATTCCGACGATTCTGACTTTTGTTAATGTATATATTCCGCCCGTCAACAGCATTGTGGCCAGTTATCATCCAAGCATCATCCATCTGCTGCAGGGAGATAATAAAATTGTCCTTGGTGATTTCAACGCTCATCATGAGATATGGTATTCTCAACTTCCTAATGATCCTCGCGGTATTCTTATTGTAAACCAGATAGACGAGTCCGATTTCGCTTCCATCAATGAGGAATCCTCTACCAGTGTCAGTGCCAGGTATTCTATCTCTCCGGACATTTCCATCGCTCCTTCCCTGCACTTCCTGGCAAACCAAGGTCGCTTTAAATTCAGACCATATTCCCATTCTGGTCACTGTAGAGAAACCCAGCGATTTCGTGGAGCCCGATCAGCGTACTTTCATGAATTATAATAAAACAACTGGCACGGCTTCACAAAATTCATTGAAGACTCCTGAAGTCCTATGCCGCCACCCGTATGTGCCAGAAAAGGTTATAAGATTTTCCGTGAAACTATTCTAAAAGCGGCAAAACGCTTCACAACTGCGGGCAGAATTCCTCTAATGAGACCAAATTATCTATCCAGCGCATCCACATTGGCACAGAACGCGACCAACTCCGCTGACGACAAAATCCCGTAGCTTAGCGCTGAAGTAGATGCTCTAGTCCTTGAGCACAGGTGCTGTAAATGGTTAGACCACCTTAACCACTGGAATATAAATTCCAATCAGCTATGGTCTACAATTAAGAGTCTATCTGGTTCCAAAAGAAATAAAAATCTCCCTACTATTTCCTTCAATAACATCCAACATTCTGATGCCAAAAATATGTGCATTGCAGTTCTGCCGCCAATTCATTGAGCATCCATCTTCGTAGAACAGAACCAAGCGAGCAGTTATCCGGAAATCCAAGAATCTTAAATGAGACTTGCAGCAACTATCATTTACATCCAGCGAGGTAGAGGCAATTATCTCCAAATCCAAACCATCCAAAGCCCTTGGTCCAAACGGTATATCCATGTTCATGTTAAAGAAGCTTGGAACAATAGATCTTTAGATCTTTCCAAGGCGTTTGATACGGTCAATCATTCCGAGCTGATATCTCTGCCAGCAAAGCCCTCTCGACACATATTAAAAGAAAAGAATCACAATTTTGGTAAAGTTATGAGATTTTTAATGTAGAGAAGAGGGTAAATTTGTGTGTACTAATTTATGTATACAGTCCAAATTATTTAAATCGCTTCTTATTCAAATTGTACGAGTTCTGCCATCAGAATTATTTTTGATTCTTGTAAAAATGAATATAGAGAATAATTTAAAATAAAATAATTTTTCTGTCGATTTTGCATTTGGTTTTTATGATATTGGACTTTAATTTTTTCAAAAGAATGTACTGTATCTCCCGAATGCAAGGGTGTAGCGATGTCAAATTTTGGGCATATCCTATTTAGGATAGTTGCATTAAATCTGTGAACAGGAATTTGTTCTAAGATTGCGGAAAAAATCGGGGCTCAAAGGGTTAATAGTTAATATATTTTCATTTACCTTCTTCCGTATTTTCTATAAATATTTTGAGGAAGGAACTTTCAACAACAGCCAACCTATTACACCAACATCTACTTTTTATGAGTTTTCGGAGTGCATACGTTACCAACGAGAAATTCGTTGGTGCCTGATGATGATGATTTTAATTTCATTCGACTCGGTAATAAAATAATAAAAATACAATATATTTTTAGCTTTTTTAATTTGGCTTTATTACGAGGTAAAATGAAATATCTAAAATACAAGACTCATAAATTACAAATGTATTTTTCATTCTTTTAGGTAATCAGTTAATTTAGATTAATAACATAATGGTGGTTTTTTATAAATATTAAGTAGACCACTACAAAATGGCTAAGGCGTTGCACGACTCAACAAAATTTTAACAGAATCCGTTCATATAAGTACGAAAAGTTAACTAAACTTCACTCGATATTATTACAAAGAACAAGATGGAGATACACTAGTTTTTAAAAATAAAAATGTATAGGTCTGTCATTCGTTTTACATTAAAATATAGAAATTTTATTAAACTAAAAGAGAGGATGAGGTCAAACCATTGTTATGTTATTTAAATCAAATGGATGTAAAAAAACATTGTTCTTCATCAAGTTTTAGTTTAAGTACTTAGCTCGAGCCTCCTCAATTACTAAACAAAGAATTAAGCCTAAATTGATCTAATAAGTTCAGTTTTGCATGTCATATACTTCTATCGCAAATTGCATTCATTTGTTAAACTATTAATTATAAGTCTAAGTTAAAACTAACCCTTGGCATGACCGTTAAGAACCAATTGTTTATTCGAAACTCCGCTAGGCTGCTTTGATTTGTAACCGGAACAGTCCTCTATAATAAAAATACAAAAATATAAGAATAATGGACCCAAATGTATATTGAGAACAGAAACGAAATACCGAAGAAATTTGTTAGTTAAATCACAGAGCTGAAATTTTAAACATTTTAAATTTTACAGTAATAAGTTTGGATTAGTAGTTAAGTACTCTTTGTGACTAACAAGTCTAATAGCTTCTGCATACAAAAAGTAATAAATAATACAAAACACATTTCATTGAGTTCGTAAAATGAGGTATGTAAAGAAACAAGTTTTAGCTCATACAAAGAAAAAAAAAAACAAACTCGCCGCCTCGTTGATATACTAATAATAGCATGATAGTTTGTTATTTTACATGTAAATAAATTAACATTTACGAGGATGCACCGTTTTGTCCATTAACATGATTGCAATTTTCCTTACCATGTAAAGAATGGCAAAATTTTTTCGTGATACTCCAATCCTCTTTCAAGGATAAATTAAACATGGAATAATCTGGATCGCCTGTAACCTCCTTCACTATGTTTAAGAATTTTGGCAGACAATTTAGTAAAGCCTCGCCAGATAGTGAAGAATACGTTTCCAAGAGAATTAATCCCTTGCACCTGTAACAAGTATTACACATTTAATAGTAAGTGTCATAAAACATGTCAATACTCTGAGGTCTCTTACCTTGGGTGACTGGGTTCCTTATATATGTCCAATTGGAAATATTGATTATTGACTAAGAAACAGCGACGCTTCTTGTAAATCGTAAAGTGAGCATCATCACGCTGAGCTAATAAATTTATGTAATCACGCTGAGTCAATTGTGTTTTTACCTCGATACGAGATTGACCATGTACATTTGGTCGACGGATTGTGTGTATATAGCTCCAGTGATTATTCTGTCCGCGCTTACGAAGTCTTGCCTGGACTTTAGGCCCAGAAGACTGTAAGTAGTGATGTTCAACATCGAAATCTTGGAACGGAGGAAATTCCGAATCGGGTGGCAAGGTGGCAACTGTAAAATAATAATTCAGTTAATATACCAATTTGTCGCTGTCGTTGCCGAGTTTGTGACTTACCCAAAAATTTGAGTTTTCTAGAGGTCGCTTGTAGACGATCACCTATATCAATACCTAGTTTTTGACAAACGCTTTCTATCATGCGATTCATTTTTGTCTCGAAATTTGTAGAGTTATCAATAACATCGAAATAAGGATGTCCAACCCAAGCTGCGGCCGATTTATAATCAAGTTCACGAGCCAATTCGACGCCTTCGGACCGACACGCGTGTTCCTTTAAAAAAGATACAAAAAACATTAATCTCCAGCCTAAACATTTATTTAAACTAAATTCAATGCCCAAAGATGCTAGCAATAAAGCGTAACTAAGGATAATCCTTTTTAATTCATTGTTATTACCTTAAATAGCTTTTTCATTTTCTTTGAAAACAAAAGAACAAAATTATTTAATTCAAAACAATATTGCTAACATTATATTTAAATGAGTATGGCGCCTCCAACTACAATCTATTTCTCATTGAATTTTCGGTCATGTGTCTCATAGTAATACTTACTTCGGTGGTGTAAAACTCTTCTGCACCATTAGCTGCTGACACCAAGTGCAAAATTTGATTGTAACGGTTGTCTCGCATTTCAATAGGATTCCAATTGTTGGACGCCATCATTTTCTCCCACTTTTCTTTGGAAATATCTGCAATTATTAGTAGACATAATCATTTAGATGTGCCTATAGTGGGACATTATAATAGGACTTACATGCACTTGCATCCATTACTCCCCGATCACATATAATCAAACAGTTACGGGTACTGGATTTGCCTAATTCAAAATATGTATTTTCAATCTGTATCATTGTACGTATCAAGTTTTCTTGAAATTTGTATGCTACAAAGAAATTAAGATCAATTGCAAAAATATTAATAAAATAAAGGAGTTAAAATGTTATAATGCCGCCAAATAAAAACAATGAACACATAATTCAATGTTAGAATACAACAAAGCTTTTCTTGACAATGACACTGCTTGCTTATGCTTGAAATTTTCCTGTATTTGTCATTATGACGAAGACCAAAATAAAAAGAATATTTTATAATTGGTTAACAACTAGTTACAATCGACCAATTTTACAGCGAACGCAATATATATATATATAGCATAGAAATGTTTTTTTTTTCTGACACATTTTTCACCTGAATTGACTGTAATTCGGTATTTTGAGTCCTCATTGTGTAGTAAATCTTGTTATTGGAAATTATCAATACAGTCCCACTTTTTAGGATAGCCCCCGAATTTTTCGGTATTTTGGAGAGTTCTGCCAATTTGGCATTAATTTGCTACTGCGAATGCTTATTGAGTAGCATCTCTTTCTACCAAAAATATCCATATTGGACCACTCATTTGGATAGTCTCCATATAACGGTGAACCCAAATATTATTAAGTAGTGTGGGCACGTTTTCGAAATCATAGTCTCCATATAACGGTGAACCCAAATATTATTATGTAGTGTGAGAATGGTGGGCACGTTTTCGAAATCCTACAAACAAAAAATGTTTAAATAATGATCCATGTATAGGGGTAGACCCCATGAAACTGTTCCCCCAAAAATTCGGTATTTTGGGGAAATTAGAAACGTTTTTCAATCAAATTGACTTGACTGGTGGTAACCCCACTACCGGTATTTTGAGGATTTCAGACAGCCAAGCTTTATTTTCGTTATATGCAAGGTCCTAGTCCAACCAACCAGGGGGTCTCAGAATTTGTTATTTCGTTTTCGCCTGAAAGACTTGATTTAAGATATTTTCAATATCTCCATGAAGGTGGAAGAGTTTGGTCCGGCCGATCTTAATGACCTTTTAACTCTTTTTATGTATTGAAATTGATTTCAACCAATTTATTAACTTAAGAAATCATAGTAATGACCCTCAGTGTGGTTCTAATGGAAAATTCAAAGTAATGTATATTCCAGTAGAAAAAATACAACATATGTTGTAAATAATTATTCCTTTTATTTTAAAAGTTCATGCGTCTTTATATACATTCTTTTTCTCATTGAGTAATTTAGTATCAATAAATGGAACTACGCAACACGCAAAAATAAACGTAGAAACAATCTTTAATTGACAACAACTGCACAATATTAATAAATTAAGACACGTGAATTTCATTGAACGAAATCAGTCTTAATAATTCATTCATGTGAAAGTAAGTTTTTTTAATGACGTATGTTCAATAACATATCGTAAAACAATCAATATCGAGTATAAAGACATGTTTACGTTCTTGATTGAGCGTTAAAACGACGCCTTCCGCGAGTTAGGTATAACACTTGGTGTTTCTCTTAATAACTCTGTGATTGTGTATTTACAATCATGTTTACATCCCATTTTGTATTAGTGAATTCCGATCAGATTGTTCAGCAATTAAAAATGAATACCATCCCAAAACTAACTCCGATTTGTCCGACAAAGCATCTTCTTTTGTATTAAAAAACACGTAAACGTCAGGGAATTAACTGGAGTAGACACAATGTAAAAGACGAACGAATGCATAGGAGTATTCATCAATTATTCATAAGCAATTCGTCCAGGCACTGAAAAGGTGACCCACCCGTTATTAATTTTTGACCTTTAAATGACACATGTTTGCTAACTGTAAATTGAGACAACAAGTCTGCACAATAATGGCATTTTACTACAGGTCTCTACTATCACCAACTGATTCCAGCTGACTACCATTCATATCATGATAGTTTGCCAATGATATTATTAATTAAAATCATTTAATTTTTATTAAATCTCTAGAAAAGTTTATATCTCTAGAAAAGTTGTAATTTTAAGATGCGAGATTGAAAACAAGGCATAGATATACCTATACTATGAACCATGGTACAATAACAAGAGGGAAGGTAACTTGACGAAATTAACAAAGTCAGATTTATAAGCCCTTTGTCTTTGCAGATGACATTTTCCTTTATTTGAATCTGGTTCTTCTGAATATAGCATAAACTCCCACTTATATAATATATCTAATCAAATGGTTCGTAATCAACTTCAAATTAATCCGTTTAAAACAAAATGTATAATTTTTCCATTCCAGAAATCGTCAGATACTTTATCCTGTACTGTATGTCAATAATGTTCGAATTGAATTTACTGATTCCCTGAAATATCTTGGAGTTATACTGGACTCCAATCTTAATTTTAAATTTCATATAAAAGCACCCTCAAACAAAATTTGTCTGATATTGAGAAGACGGTATATCCTCAGAGCATGTACCCCCAGATTTGTGAGGATTCGACTGGCTTTTTCCTTAATGATGATATTAATTATTACGGCATTGAAATTTATTCAGGAACTTGGTCATATTGATGAAATAGAAGGAATATTCAGGAAAATAATACGATATGTGTACTCTATTATTTGTTTTAAGCGCAATATTTAAATCGATATTCCTTTGGTTCACTCTTCAATTTATGAACATTCATATCTTGTTAGAGTCTATCTTATTTGGAACTATCGTTCCAACAGTCTTAAACTATTTTCATACTCTTATCATAAATTTAAGCAAAAACTAACGAGATAAATAAAAAAGGCTGATCGCTTATAGGGTTATCCCATGATTTTATTTATTTTTTTTTTTAAATTTTTATATACAATATTCATATGCCTGGGAGCCACTTATAAATATTATATTTTGATTTAATTTCTTTTTCGATTAAGTTCTAGTTATGAATTCTTTATTGCATAGAATCTAATCAAACAATACATATATAATAGACCTCTTAGTATTCCTTTGTGTTGATATTATAAATTAAAAAATTATCGCGAAAAATTAATGGAAATGGAATGCCAAGTCTTATCACAGTGTGGGGTTGAAATTTTGATCATAATCATATTTCTTCCGTAAATTCTAAAAGATTTTGCTCTCGAATACTGTAATGATGAATTTTGCACATAAAAGTATTGGTCATTTTGACTTGCTAAATATTGACCGATCTTCATCAAAACAGCGATGTCTATTGCTTGCTAAATCCCTTCCCCATGTAAAGTTTCGTGCTTTTCGGGTAATAATTGTAGACTCTATAGCGGCCAGAAAAACAGACAAAATAAAGTTTTTGGTCCATTTCATCGTTACGAAAAGCAATAGGGGTCAGAACCGGTACTACATGCAAAATTGTATGTCAATTGGTTCATAACTGTGACGTGTATCGTGTTTACAAATTATAATGTACAGACAGACACTAAAAGTGCTAAATTGGCTCCATTGCGCATAGCGACCAATTTCGTCGTTTTGACCGTATAAACTGTATTGGAATACGTTTCCTAGTGGTATAAATTAGCTATTTTGTTTTTGTTTCCTTTAATCTTATTATGGCTTGTTATGACCGATTACATAGCAGAACAGACGATAACTTGACACTTTGTCCTAATTAGATTAAACAATTACGACGTTATATCGAATATCTACAAGATGATTACTAAACAAATGTAAAAAATAAATACTATATTACTGTATAATGACAAATATGTGTAAGACAACTCTTATCCAAAAACGCTAAAGGAATCGATTGCCGTTATTCAATGTTATTTGAAAACAAGAATATCATAAGTTTGTTAATATACGATGTGATTGGAATTTCATTCTTTGTTCATTTTTCCAAATTGGAACTAATTCCAACATCTGATATTTTGCCATTCACTGAGTGTATGCAAATTTAGTATAGGTCGATGACCAATAAAATAATTACGACGAAGTTTATTCAAATTGATACAATATTAAATATTCATATTACTAGTTTAAAAACGAAATATGCTAATTTAAGTTTATACCATTTGTAAACATTAATATGATTATGTTTACTTGTATTTGTATACGAGATACACATGTTCAGAATTAATTTGAGACTTTATAGCTCCACCGAAATCGCCATTGCTATACATAATTTTATTTTCTCATTATGAATATTACACTAAATTCTCGGTCCCAAAGAGTTTATTATAAACTTGTTTTACTGTACATTCAAATAATGTTGTTGTTGGCATTTGTTTACCGAGTATTTGCCGCCTTCTACTTGTTTGCAAACGAAAGACATATATTCTATGCGATACATACTTTAAAATATTTAGACGTAAATATATGTACGTCTTGGTATGTGTGCACATACATATATAAGTTTCAAATCATTGGGTTGATTAAGAAGATAAATTATTGAAATAAAAATTTGATATATTAAAATTAAATCAATTTGTGTCTGTGTTTTTTTTTATATTTTAACCCAACCATATTATACGAACAGTAAATTCAACCTAATTCCTGTAAATACTCGATATGTATATGGCAAATTCTAGAAGGTTTTCTAATTTTGTACACAACAACGTATATAAAAATAAATTTGCGCTATTCACATTGTGTTCTCTGTGTGTTTATGTTTTCGTTTCAAAAGATAGCTAAGATAAGAAAATACAGAAATAATGCTCCCGTCCTATATTTTGTGCTCGATTACTTATTAATGTTTGTATATGAATGTATAATGGAAAAATGTATATGTGTATAAAATATAAAGCAAATGTGACATTAAATTAATAGCTTATATCCAATTAAATTTCGTAACGACGATGAAAATTGTAAATCTAAATTTCACGCGATATTTTTGACAACAAAGTATAACAATTAACAGTATATTATAAACTTAAATAAAATTAATATATAGTTTTTAACATTTACAGTCATGTAACAAATGTACTCGTAATACGTACATTAGGGTTATGACGGTTTTGCAACCTTTATCCCTGTATTATATTTTAATGTGTTTTTACGAAAGATTAGATAAAATCTTAATGATTAGGTGATTCTATTAAAAAAAAACTCACCCACGAAATCATTTAAAAGTGACATAGCAATCTGTATCTCACGAAATGGATTTAATTGGAAAACGGTATCAGCTCCCGTCACATATTCATTGATTTCTATGACCAATTTCTAATTTTGTTCTCATAAGTTATAAAAATTGTTACTTTTTTCCAACTTGGGTATGTATGATTAAAAATAAAAATTAACCTTTTTTAAGAAAACTAAATTACAATTTTTGTCATTAATAGGCAAATTCTCATTTATTCCCGATGCTGCAAATTATTTTTGAAAAAAACAAAACATAACCCTAATGTAGATATGTTAGTATGTCAGTATGTGCTCTTGCGAATTCTGCGTATTGCCAATACAAGTTATTTATGTTTCATGATATATGAAGCTGGGACATGCGGATTTCTTATTTTTTAAAAGAAAATCTAAAAGTTCGTTTCTGTAAAATACGAAACGAACGAACTCGAATGCCTTATTATCAAACCTCTACTTATATAAAAAAGTTGGTATTGATTCCAAACAATAATTAATAATATACTTTTCTAGCGAAATTAAAAAATGAGTTGCTACAAAAAAGTCTCGTGTTTGGATGTCATAATTCAAAAAATAAATATTGCTTTCATGCATTATGTAGCAGTGCTTTACATATAAAATGTGAACAAAATAGCGGTCTGCGCATTGGTATGTATACATACATGAATATAAATGTGAACGTAGACAAATTGACAAAAGTACGAAAGCATTATCTGTAGTTTTGTGAAGATATTACAATATAACAGATGTTTGGGAACAAAAGTGCAAATTGCAGTAACACAAACGTATGCCTTTCCTCTGTGTAGAGCGTTAGTACACTCACCTTCGCTGCCATTTGGTTTTGAGGCAGCGTTCGCCAAACATCGCGGACAAGATGCCGTCAGATCTATAAGACTGTGCTCCGGTGCGGCAAAAGGAAGATTTTTGTACGTAAAGGTTGATGGTGTTGAAGGTGCTAAATACGTAAAATTATTACCCAAGAATGTTAATACAAAAAAACGCAATCGATATCTTAAACAATTATCAGACAATAGCAAAATATAAGAAATATAAAACATGTGACACGAACCAGTCACTTTATATTGCCAAAAACGTTCTTATCATTTCCATTTTGGACGTGTACACAAATACACACTAACCTATTCTTATAATCATGATGGAAATTAATTTCGTGACACTGTCCTCGTGCCTGGTTAAAGAGATAGTCCGATAAGAAATAGCCCCATTTCGTTCTTGTTTCTAAATAAAATACCACACAACAAGAAAATGGGTGACGAACGAATGAAATTGTATGTCCCAATCATAACGAAAGTTTTACATTTATTTCGTACTACTTGAGTACATTACGCCAAGTCACATTTTGATATAGCAATACCTACCCCTTTATTCGATTGTACTTCCACAGACAATTTTTGTAATAGGTTATGTCATATAAAAAAACGGCAAATGTCAATTTGTATATATTTAGTCAAACAAATCAAACTTAATTAAATTATACGCAAACACGCAAAGTGAATTAGAAGAAGACAAATATCACAATTGACAAATTTTACTAACAATTATTTGGAAAGATAAGAAAAAGGTAAATAACTTTTTAAAGCACTGGAAATTGGCTTGTTATAAAAACAAAATTAAAACAGTAAAATTTTGTTGTTATTATGTAGATGTGTACGTTCAGCGGGATGACTACATATTTTTCTTTAATTATTAAATTTGCAGTTGCGTCTCTGACTTCTTGTATTCTATATTGAATTATTTGAAGCGTTCGTATGAAGAACATTAATTTGTAAACAATATTTTCTATAAACAAAAAATGAACATTAACGATTTACCTTCTTTTTCAGTGAGATCGGAAAACTTGACACCACCACTGTAAGCATAATGTGAAATATGTGCAATTTAGCAAAGTTAGCACCAAATTAATTAAAATGAAATATTACCTGAGTAGGACAGTAGCAGTTTCAGGTACTCTGAACACCTGAAAATATTAATTATAAAGTGCATAAATATTATATAAAGTTTAAAAAAAAACTAATAAAAATTTTCGCGCAACGATATTTCTAAAATACACATGTTGTAGTATTTTCCTGTTGCATTTTTAACAATCAATGTACATAACCCTACGGTCAATAACCGGATACATTTGTACCTTTTTTTGAATAAAAATGCTATAAAATTTTTAATTATGGAGATATTTGGATCAAATTTTGAGGAATCATTCATGAGGTATTTTCACACATAAACGAAGAAAAAAATTATAAATATTTTCCATATATATAATTTTTATAATTTTTTAAAGTTATTACCTACGTAGATCAATAACCGTGGTACATTTGTACCCATCCAAAGATAGCTCATTAAAAATTGGACTATCGTGAGGTTTCTTGTTTGAAATTAGTTATACGGATCTGATCTAGATGTAGGAACTCAAAATTATATATACATTAAAATAATATATACTTAAATCCGTGCTTAAATGATAATCTATCTAAAACAATCATAGTAAATTCGTTATAGCTTTCGAAAGGGTTAAGCTTTTTAGTTATTTTTTTATTGGGATCTTATTTAGGTGTTCCTCAACCCCTCTGCAAATTTTTGTGGCCCTAGACAACAAGGGGCCATTAGGACGACTCGTGGAAGTCAGAAACTACCCTGGTTTTCCCTTGGTATACAGGGACACGATAGTCCAATTTTTTAATGAGTTACAGAGCTATCTTTGGATGGGTACAAATGTACCACGGTTATTGATCTACGTATACTTTTTTGGCTATTGACCGTAGGGTTAAGAGACGCCCTGTCCTAATAATTGCATATGAATGGTTATATAGAAATTATATCACATGTGAATCATCATATGGATATATAGTTTATTTAATTTCAGTATATGGAAATACTAAAATAGGAATTCTTAAGATGACAATATCAATACATACGATTGACACGCGCGCGTTGCATAAAATTTGCAACACTAAAGTACTTTAAATAGTAATATAAACTAATCCAAAAATGAATATTTATGTTATGTTACTGTGTCGTAAATGTAAATACTACGGTCGAAAGTTTATAGTCGTAATTATACTCATTTTATTTGGGATTCAATATTAGCGTTTTTAATTCAATAAACATGTATTTTGTAATTAAAAAATTCACTCTTAAGTGTTTATGCTACATACCTTCCAACCGAGATTTTCGAAAAATGTGCACAGACGAGATTGGCCAGTTGTTTTGCCACCACAAGGACCTAGAAAGGAAAAGTAAAAAATTTAATATCGTTGTATGGTGTTAAAAATTCTAATTTTTTAAGAAGTTACTTTTTTATTTGATGGACCAACTCTACAAAAATTTAGATGATTATATAATTGTAAAAATCCATATGTTCATACAATTTCGAGGATATTTCCAAACAATTTATTTATTTAATTTTATTTCATAAACGAGAACCTAGCCCAAATGTCCATAAACAACAAACAATGTCCAACAACTCATATCATAAACAACAGTACATGAACTACTCCAAAAATTAATTAATTTAATTTAAATCACATAAAATTATTATTTAGGATTTCTATCCAAATTAAAAAAAAAATCATTTAGAGTACAGAGCGCTATAAATAACTTGGACTGTTCGCACAGATGGGTACTATACAAATATATATTGAATAGATCTAAAGTTTTATTTCTTTAGTTTTTTTCTTTTGATATGTGTTGTTGATTACAAAAATAATAACCATAAATGGTTAAAACACATAAGATATTAAATATAAGCGCATTAATATAAATAATTAGCAAACGCATTATCACACTAAATAACGAAATGATGTACATTAGGTTTTAGTATTCAAGGATTATTTCAATTTAAGTAAGGGAAGTTTGAAAACTTAAACCCCCATATATGCTAAATTACAATATTAATGTAAATATTTTTATAATTAGTTTTTACTTCAAATTCAACTATTACTATGGCATGCAATGCAATGCATGGCATGATATTGAATATAACAATAAGGGAAACCTTAAATGCCGGACAAATACTGCTAATCTATAAACATTCAGTGTTTATGTGAGAAGTTCGGCATAACTGAAATGGGATATGTACAGTGACGGCAAAAATAATAAAAAAAAGACATAACATGGTAGTTTGGATGCCTTTTTGTAGAAGTTCAAAAGCAGAGTTTCAATTTCTAGTTTCACTAATGGACTCCATACACTATACATCATGCCGTACAGCATTTATCATAGTATGTGTTATTTTTTGAAAGTTTATTTATGTATGTGTGACACACACAATGCCCCAGTAGAAAATACTCTCTTGCGTGACAATTTCATTGACGAAACGTTGACGAAATTTATGGAATTTTCATTCATGACTAAACACATGATATGTCGTCGAAAATGTCGTTCTTCTCGAAATATGAAAACAAAACAAAAATAGTCTGAATCGAGTGTACTATGAAATATTGACAGAAACGAAGAGAAAAATGTTTCTGAAAAAACATACATATAAGAAATTTAAGTTAACTTTAAATATATAAGAATTAAGAATCTCGGTTAAAATAGGTAAGTTTAACTGAATATATAATTATTTGTATCATTTCTTAAATGCTTTCTTTTGCTCTTAGGATGGGGCAAATAAATGACAATTGGTGAAATATTGTAAGTAATATCTGAAAGATGTTTCATATTTTAAAGCGTTTTAATGTTGTTGTTTCTTTACAGACGATGTTAAAATGGAGAAAATCATCTCGACAACTTATAATGCAATGTGTTTATTTATATTATTATAAACGTAAATGCAATGTTATATAATAAATTACATGCTATAAAAATATAAATTGAAAATGTATATATATATATTTTTATTTGAATTTTTAATGGGGTATGATTGATGACAATGGGTATTCAGTCGCCAACGACTGTGTAAACGACATAGTCGTCAACGAAAAGTAGGGAGTTTTGTCGCCGAAGTTGTCGTCAACGACAACTTCGCTTACCTTGTCGCCCAAGTTGTCTTGCATGAATACTGTGACACTTGTGTGAAAATTTCGTCAAGGATCTCACATTGTTGTCTGCAAAGTGTCTTCAAGGAATTGCCATTGTCTTGCACGATTCGTTAATGTTGTCTGCAAGACACTATCTACTGGGGCATGAAGAAAATCGAAATAGTTTTGATTTTGAAAATGAAACCCTATCAATCTGGTGAATAATAATCATTTTGAAAGTTGTCAGTAAATAATTTTGTGTACAAAATTAATAAAATAGTGACGGAATAAAAAAACAACTGAATTTACGACTCAAAATGCTATTTTTGTCCCAAAAACCGATTTTTTGGAATAGTGATTGAAGAGTTTGTCATACACTAGTCAATCTCACATATATAAAAAGGGGTTCATCGGCATGACGGCATGATGTATAGTGTATGGGACCCTTAACAGAACAAATGTAATTTTTACATGAAAAAAATAAGAGTAAATGACCTCTGGTAAAATTTTTTGACCACTATGTATGTTTCTTAAGAAAAAATTTGCGAGCATGCTGATTTTGAAAGACTCGTAACTTTATTTAAATTATATATTTTTCAGCCGGATTTTTTTTCATAGTTGTTAGAATTTAAAATTATTAGAAAATATTTGTAATTAGTTTATTTTTATGGATGCCGTCCTTAGGAACAAAAAAATTGTGATTTTTCTATAGTAGGCATATGGGTGAAAAACAAACACATTTTCGATCATTTTGGCTCAATATTGAGAAAACAGATTAAAAAAGTACTCCTAAGGCCGACTAATTTAGAAAAAATCAATTTTGAGTGAGTTTACACAATATTAGGGAGTTGTGTATAAGTCATGCCTAGTATTGAATAGCTGTATCCTAAAGTCGGCAGCAAAATTTATAATTGTAATATTTTCATAAAATAAATCAATTAATTTTACTTTTTGGCGCAATAAAGATAGAAATGTATTTTAAGAAAAAACAACTAAGAAAGAAATGTATTTAAAAAAAAAACTTTTATTAAAGAAAATAATAAAAACATTCATTCATATACAATATTTCTTCAATTACAATACGACATGCCGACAATTGGAAACTAGTGCCGGATATTCACAAAAAAGCACCATTTTACTTAATTGTTAATTTGCTCAATGTCCATGCAAAATAATTCAAAATTTGTTTATGCCATCGAGAAGTAAACAAAATTTCGAAACTAATGAAACTTACTACAACATAATGGAAAATTGCACCCAGAATGCCGGAAAATTTAAAATACGTAAATCCTTATAGTGCCGATATATCAAGTTGTTTTGAAATTAAACAAAAATTACACCTTGGCACAGATTGTATGACTTTTATAAACAAAATCAGTTTCGATTATTGTTAGAAATATCTTAAAAAATAATTTGAAGTGATTTTTTCGTAAGTATTGTTATCTTGAATCCAAAAAAGGTTAAATAACACTAATTGCCGCTATTGTTGTTTTCAAGAAAAAATATATCGTTATAATCAGGCCGTTCAGACAATCAGCGTTTAAATTTTAAAACTTGTACCAAAAACACTATTTTACTCAATTAACAAATGCCTAAATGACGCACAGATCTAAAGCAGACATTGTTCAACGTCGCGATACAAATCCCACCGACATGATTTGCTTTCGTTTGGTACAGTGGTCGCTGGGTTAATAATCCCTTGCCGAGTTGGACTTTTGTTGTTCGTGGGATCGTGCAAGTATTGTTGTTGATTTTCTTGAACACTCAAAGAGTTAAAGTACATCAATTACCGCTAATGTTGTTTTCCGCAAGAAAAAATATCGTTTTAATCAGTGTGAAAATAAAAAAAGAAAACAATCCGTGTCCGGGTCCTATACAAGACTAGTACCAAAAACACTATTTTACTCAATATACCAATTATACGAATTTAATACAAAATGATGAACCAATTTTATGTATTCCTTTATAATTTAAACGTTTGTAGAATTTCTAAACCTTCAATTTTAATCATGCTCGGTATTATTTTTAGCAGTTCTACAATCATATGTATAGCGCGAAAGTACAAAACAAATCTTATTAAATTTCACTGTATACATTGAAGATATATTATATTCTGAATAATTTCATTTGTTGCATCTACAAATTTCACAAATGTAAACACCACAACAATAGTGATACTGTGTGTAACAAGTAGTCAGCCTATGACCTTGACATTGAAAAACTGCATTGAATGAATAAAAGGTTGGCTGCAGTAATGCAAAAGAGAACGAGGAATATACTATGTAAACAGATAATTTCTTATGTATCACACAAATACATCCGCTTATGAGGAAAATTGAAAATAAAATAGACATTGCAACTCTTACCTCCTGTAAGAACAATTTTGTAGACACGCTTCTCCAACTGCCCGTTGCTCATTTTCTGAAGCTTGAGACTTTTTTGGGGATTCTCTAGCCTTGTTTCTTTGGTGGGCCCATTTGTGTTGCCGTTTTCTTTGGATGCCATTTCTTGTGATTCTTTCTTGCTGGATTCTGTTGTTGCCATCATCATAAATTCACTTCCGCCCCGCGTTCTCAGGTTATACTAAGTTGTAGTGTTGTGATTAATCTCCGCTTTGGTTTTGTCTGGGCAGCTTTTGAGGTTAGTACGTTACGTAGACTGATTTTTTTCTTTTTGTTAGAGAAAAATGTACCGTTGCTTGTTAATATTCCATGTCAAACGTTCGCGGGACAAACTACACCATTTTTTGTTAATTGTATAACTTTTTTCCGACAAACATTTGTTTTATTTTGTGTGTTTGGCAATTTATACGTAGATTATAGACCACACCGCATGACCGACCGACCACATGTAAAGAATTAACGAATATGGGATGCACTAACACTTAAAACAAGCACTCGCACAATAACGATATATTGAATTAAGCTATTTAACAATTTTTTGATTTTACTCGACGACGTCAACGCTTTTCTAAATGTGACATTTTCTTTTTAAAGTTTTTTGCAAACCGTCAGCCATCACAAAACGAATAACAATATTTTCCTGCGGTTGAATCGACATCTGCACGTTAACAAATCGAATAGAATAGCTCGATGCAAGATGTGTCAAAACTTGAAGGTTGATTATTCAATGTAGACTACTCGATACTTGTTTTCTATGCGAGTACAAGGTATTCGCCAGGGATGGGAAGAAAAACGTGATCTCATAATTATTACAAATTCAACGTATCAATTCATGGTACAATTATAAAAGGTAACAGCAAATCCCAGCTGCTTTGATTCCAACGTAATACTAGTGTCAATATGAATTTGACAAATGATGTTTTTAAAAATCACCCAACAGGAAAATTGTGAACGCATACCATTTGTAATTGTTCTTTATTAAATGTATTCCCGTATTCAATTTACTCAATCTGCCTGCTGGGAAAGTTTGGGGAAGCAAATCTTTCTTCATGGAATAACTCGCAATTCCCTGCATTTTTATATGTGTTACACATATAAGTGGCAATGGCTCAATTATATGAAAGATGTGGAAGCGATAGAAATATAAATTTGATAGATTTTCATTCATGTTTTTCAATTTTTATTTTGAGGATTCGAAAATATTTCATTTTCAAAATAAAAATAATTTGTTTGTTTACATTTTTCTGTCAAATGTGTTGACACTAGTAGAACTTACAACAACAAATTTCCATGTGGTTGTTGTATCGTTTTTTGTACAACAACACTTGCGTTACCTTCTTTTATTATACCATGGTATCAATTATGGTACAATTATTCAAGGTAGGCCATAACAACTTATAAATTACAGTTTTTTCATACTGTGGCTTGTTATGCCAAAATCATACATACAAAATGTGTGACTGAGTGTGTAATGTTTGAAAAAGAGAACAAAATATATTCGAAAATCGATTTGTTTGAAAATGAATTGTAGAGCATTTGTAAGAAGGAATGTATGATTTGTGAATGAAACAATATGTAAATCATATCCTCGATTTTGAAAAGAAAGCCTGACATTCCATTCAGTTTTTCTGACATTATTGGCCATAAGTTAGAGGTGTATTTCTTCCTTTTTGACAAAAGCTACCCTACCTTGTATAATTGTATCATGGTATCAATCATGGAAAAATTATAAGGTACAAGAGTATCAGGGAATATACACCTCTACCTTGTGGACTATAATAGGTGTGTCTGGTTACTTTGGCAGTAACATTTACTCAGTAAGTTCTAGTTCAGCGAGTAAGCCGTTTTTACTCTCTTTTGCGAAAATACTGAGAAAAGTAAACAGACAACATTTAGTAAGATTCAGCAAAAAAACAGTTGATTCAAGAAAAACTTTTTATTTGCGCCAAATAAACAAACAGACGAAGAAAGGACGAACACAATTGTTTGTATTGCATTTAATATTAAAAAAGAACAATATAAGAACTATTGATTTGGTATGTTCCCCGGGAACATTTAAGCTTCTTGCCTCGATACATTGCCCTCTTCCTGGAACTTGTTTAACCCTTTGTGGCCCAATGTTGCCCACAGGCAACAAAATGTTTTAGAGCTTATATTTTATATGCAGCTAGTAGATATGTATTATTTGGATTTCATATGTAAAGACATAATTATGGACGACACATATAAAAAGAAAAATCAAAAAAATTCAAAAATTTGGTAAAGTTATGAGCTTTTCAATATAGAGAAGAGGGTAAATTTATGTACAGTACTAATTTGTGTATACAGTCCAAATTATTTAAATCGCTTCGTATTCAAATTGTAAAAATTCTACCCTCAGAATTATTTTTGATTCTTGTAAAATTGAATACAGAGAATAATTTAAAATGATTTTTCTGACGATTTTGCATTTGGTTTTCTTGATATTGGACTTTAATTTTTCCGAAAGAATGTACTGTATCTCCCGAATGCAAGGATATATCGATGTCAAATTTTGTGCCTATCCTATTTAGGATAGTTGCATTAAATCTGTGAACAGAAATTTGTTCTAAGATTGCGGGAAAAAATTCGGGGCTCAAAGGGTTAAAAATATAAAGAATTAGTTTCTAATTTAATAAATCTTTGCATTACTTACGAATTTTCTTCAATTTTCTGTAATTTTTATACAATTTAATTTCAAATTAAATTTTGCAAATTAAAAAAATGTTTTGAATAATTTTTTGTTTAAATAATTTTTGTGTTTGTTACTAAATATGGAGTAAAGGGACTCAACTAAATATAACTAAATATCGAGTAAAGAAACTCAACTAATGCCAAAACAAATAAAAACAAATGCAAGAATATGTATATTTTTAACATTTTACCAAAAACGCGAAAAATAAATGGAATGTCGGGATTTCTTTTCTTCTTGAAATATAAATCAAGATATATTCATTCACAAAACAAAAATGTCTCCTTACCAATTCATCTTTAAACAAATGGAATTTATAGTACGTTTACATTTAACCGGATTTCGTTAACCCAGTGGGTTTCAATTGTCAATTCCTTTGCATATACGTCAAATAAATCCTCATAAAGTAGGTTAACCCGGTAAAAAGTTCTAATGTACAAGGAGTTTTAGAATATATTTTTTATATTTTTCAAAACATTTCAAAATCGCTCGCTCAGGTAACCTTATCAAGCTGTTGGTAACATTCATATAGCAAGTCATAGCAATTTGTAGTTTTGCTTTTTTCAAAACCTATTCTAAATGAAAATTTTAAATACATTTGGATATAAAGAACAAAAAGATAGAAAATTAAAGGCATAGCGGAATGCCATTGAGATGAGATATATATAAGAATACCATGGAATCGAAAACAAGACTTTGGAATCGAATAGATTTGGTTCGATTGCACCTTTTTTCTTCTTTATGTAATATTGATTTTCAAATTTCATGTGAGGTCATACAAACACTACGGAAAGAATAGCCCATTAATACGGCAAATTCTGAACAGGCAAATTTTTGTTTTTTCTTCCTCGCACCCCTCTCGCCAACAAACTCAGTATTTGCCAAATAAAAATTTGCCTGTGGAAAAGCAGACTTTATTATCAGGATTTCGTAAATCTACATCATATAAAGTGCATATGTAAATGCACTATTAGACTACTAAATCCATCCTATTTCAAACGTCAATTCCATAGCGTAAACGTCATCTTAATCATGTTTACAAATCCAGTGAATTATATATGTAGTTGACATTTGAGATCAAGGGATTTCATAAATCTAAACGCACTTTTTGGAGTCCTGGAACTGGCCAATTATAATCCAGAAACATTACTTTTGGCGGTATCGTCTAAATCTAACAAGAAAAATCGATTACTTGATTACTAGCACATCATCGGCGTTAATCACTTTCACCCGGCTCAGTTCTCTAATCTTGTGACGTAGTGACGTGTTTTTGTTTACGGAAAGAATATACATAGCAAAACACATTAGATAATTATTGGTGCTCGCCATTGTAAGGTCAAGTTGATACATTAAAAAGTAATTATTTTACCACCAGCAAATATTCAAAATACGCAAGAAATATCTTCGCAAAATAATTTGTATTACTGTGTGTGTGGAAATGCAATACAAACACTCGAAAAGTCTTATAGGGGGACATTTCTGACGGACATCAGTATTATAACAAACACGCTGACAAAGAGCTGTGAACAAGGTAATGCAATAACGTCAAACTGACAGCCCCACACACGTCGTTGTAGTGGTGGTGCTCAGCTGGTCATGTTAATACGTTTTAGAAAATAGAAAAAGATCTACTAAAAAGGCTAATTTCTAAACAAAAAATAAACGTTGCTGCCTTCTTGAAAAGCCAATAGAAAATATATTTAAAAGTTTCGGCGTTTTTCTGTTCGAAGAAGTGCGAGTAATTGTTGTGAAAATTCTTTTGTTATGAAAATACTTAAATTTGTCGTTCTTTTCATGCTGAATTTGTTAAATAATCTGAAAGAATTCAATAAGACACTCATCAGTCATACATATACATATTTTAGAGGTGTGATTGAGCGAAATAATACCAACATGGATCAAGAAGATGATCATCAAAGGCAACATCAGGAGCGAGGACAAGACTATGAACCGTTACAGAACCTGGCATTGGAAGAGATAGGTGGCCAAGAAGAATATGTGGCGATGGATGTAGTAGAAGACAGCGATAATGACAGTGATGGGGCCGATGGTGCAGACGAAGGCGATGACGATGATGAAAGTAGCGACGATTATGATGTATTGGAAGACTTGGTACCTCAGGATTCTTGGTCTTCTGATGAAATTGATTGTGACGATGACTCGAACTTTGATCATGAAAGTGTTTCATTGCAACGGCTACATAGAATGTTATATCGATACCGCGAACGTGTTAAGCATACATACAGTTTCCAACCGCTTCGACTAATTCGATGTCAGTATAAGGCTAATCACGATGCCGGAGAATTCCCCATTGCCCGAAGTGGTCACCGTATCATAGCTTCTGAATCGCATCTGTACTCCCTAGGGGGCTATAACCCAAATAGAACGCCAAATGTAACACGATTTGACGCCTGTATGCTATTTCAGGAATTATGGGCCTTCAACTTTGCAACAGGTCGCTGGAAACTACTCTTAAATGCTGATAATTCGGAAATGCCAAGAGAATTAGCTTCGAATGCTTTGGTCATTTATAACAACGTATTAATTGTAAGTACATTTATATAAATTCAAATTAAAATCTCTTTAGGAAAATACGTCAACTAATATCTTTTGCATCCTAATGCTTGTTGTCGCCATTGAACCCTTATTATTTAAATAATTTCCCAATTTACTTTGTGCTTATTTCCGAATGGCATCGGAAAGTAATTTTCGTTACTAAATTGTAAATTGTTGATATGCGGGTATTGCAGCCTGCACCGTTATGCCGTCGTAGTATTTCTCTGGTTTTATTCAATTAAATATTTTGTGGCATTTTATTGGTTTGATGATTCAAAACGAATATTAATCGATATCCAACAGGAAAGACTTCATATTTATTGGGCACATTTCTTAAATAAAACAAATCCAAAGAAACGCTTTACACTCTCCCTAATAATCCATTTTAATTTATATATTTTGACATAACCTCTCTATTCAATGAATTTCAAAACTTCATTTTGTTTAGTATTCCCGTTTCAGCTGACATGGACTTATGTTTTCTCATTATTTCTTTGTTCGTGAGATTATATTTTTGTTTTTATGTTTTGCTACGTAAATTCTATACAAACGTTCATCCAATGACTCAGTGTAGCTACGTAATAAATGGACAAACCCATCCCACCCCGTCAAACATCTTTTTTTATACACACTCAACATATGAAGTGGGGGAACCAAAGACAGCCTTTTGAATATGACATACGCATATACAACTCTTGTCTAATGTATGTAGCGTTCTAATCGCTGTATTTCATGCTGTTGAACTTCCTGTGTCCACATTTTTTTATAACATTTGTTTACATTTTTTATAACGTACGTATGTAGTATGGGATGTCTCTATATATGCAACAACTTGTTTCTTTTGTTTTCATTTTTGTTTGAATTCGTCAATTTTTGTTACAATGTAAATTCGGCTTGGACGAAATCCATAGAATCTAATTGATGGTAGTTAAAATATACCACACGTATATTTCTATATTGTATGTGTATGTATTTGTTTATAGTTTCAAACTGTGCTATCTTTTGAACAGATAAAACGCCAAATGTTTATTTTTATACTGACAACGAACACGCCTTTATTGCTTTGTGATCGTTTGAAAGTGAGCATCGATATCAGCTGCATTTTTCATATTGAGTTTTCTAATTAGAAGTTCTCCGACATTTAATGTAGCGTGTTCATATGGGCTGAGCGACCAATGTGCGTGTTGGGATAGATATGCCGCACGAGTATACACATTTTTGTAATTTCTTTATATTGTGTATGGTTGTATTTATATCCCGTTTAATTCTAATAAAAGATTTGAAATTGATAAGGTCAATGGACTTAATCAATCTTAGCGGGAGATAATCTAATCTTACATTTTCCATAAATCGTTGACAAAAGAATATTGATTTTTTTTCTGGCCATAGAAAATCTGATAAATATTCGGGATTGGTATCCAAATCAATATATCACGAATTCCATGTCGTTGTGGATTATTTAATTTTATAAAATAGTAGCTGGAACCGTGGCGCTTCGCTGACCCTACTAAAGTTATCAACTTTATATTTGAACAAGATATGCAGTTGCAATATATGCCAATTTTAATTTATTAATTAGGTAAATCCTCAATTTTCTATGCTCGCTTAAAACTATAAAAATGTGTGAAATGTCCATGAGTTCTCCTGCATTCATGTTTGATAACTTACGATGTTGGTATAATCTGTTCAGAGGTTCTTGAATCCACAAGCAATATATTTTCTATTTTCTATGTATAGATTTAAATGCAAGGAGGAGGAGTGCATTTTCTTCTGATCGTACCGTGCTCATGGTGTTATGTCTAAGTAAAACCCACGTTACTTAGACATATTTTGAAGTCGGTATCTGTAACTATTCTGAAGATATACACATATTACATGTTCAAAATTTCTGAGGTATGATTATGTTCGTCATAACGTTCTGTGAGAATCTTAGTAAAATCTGTTCAGCAACTTCTGAGTCTACAAACATATTTTTTTCTTTTTTTCTATGCTCATTTTTGTATATATGATGTGTATTTACACCCACGTTATTCTGACAAATTTTGAAGACGGTATCTGTAACCGTTCTGAAGATATACGCATATAACATGTTAGTAATTTTTGAAGTATGTTTACTATGGATGCTATAACTCCACTTTGCGCATCTTATGATACATACGGGTTGGAAGCAACGACAAGCTCAACGAATCATTTTCTGGAATGAATCATGCCTTTGCATCATTCTTTTTTTATTGTGCGTGGCTCTACACTAGTCGTTTTCAGGGATAATCACGAATGTGCCTTTTTTGCCATTCATGTAGATTTCTGATATATACACAGAATGATCTATCCTTTAAGTGGCACGATTTTAATAACTTGCAGTGGAAATCCAAATCTCAGCATCTAGAATAATATCTACTAACAACATGCCTGTAGATTCTGAATTGTTAAAATTGTTTTTAACCAAAATCCGTATTTTAACGAGAGGATGACAAGTGTTTAGATGTCTTCGAAACCCATATTGTTCTTGTGGCAATATATCGTGCTCCTCAATAACGTCGTTCAATTTTCCTTGTATGATTTTTTCAAAATTTTTGCTGACAGATGATAGTAAGCTGATTGTCTGCATGATTTAAATTGAAATGTTTTAAACATGCAGTTTTTATTTTCGGTATATATTTAACTCAATTTATTGGTAACATTTTCACGCATTTATTACTTATGCCATTGACACCCGGGGCCTGTTAGTTTTTTAATTAAACTTCCGATTTGCTCAGTGGTAATCAGTTGTAGACATTGTAGCTAAATCGAGCTCAATTTACAACGATTTACCTTACAAAATTAAATCCACTGAATATCTCGAAATCCTATGCTACATCGAGGTAATTTCAAAATCAACTCCTTTTGCACAAAAACCTAATGACACCTCCTTAAAATATGCTACAAAATCCGTTACAATTCAAAATAGTTGCCTACCAAACATCATACCAAACATTTATAAGGTATTATACTACAATTTACAACAACAAATGTTTTTTTTTATTTTTAATTAAATTTAATTTTTAATTTATTCATTTTAAAGCCAAATCGAGAAGCCCTATGTGGCCAGTGTACTACAAAATAAACTTAAACATTTAAAAATATATATTTTAAACAACAGTATTTCTTTTCATGTAACATAAGTTCAAGCTCCATAATTATTCATTAAAAGTAATAGATAAAAAACATTTGAATTGGAACTACTCTGAATTAACTTACAAAAAAAAATTAAAGTGAAATATTAAGTAATTACAGAAATTAATCTTCAATTCCTATCAAAATTCTAAAAATATTGATTCAAAATTGTTCACAGAAATTATGAATAATTCCCATCGGATGGTGTCATACAGTTAGTATGATCGTCTCGAAATTTATTGTCGAATAAAACCTGACAAGATATCGACAGTCATAATTTGCCACCTGTTTTTTAAGAGTGCTTATTTGAGAATCATTAATTTTTCTGCTATCACAATATATATTTATTTTGCTTATAATTATTTTTTAATATTTTAGTCACATGGCGGTACGGGTTACCCATTCGGAGAAACATGTTCAAACGATTGCTACGTCTATACAACTGGAGAAAATCCCAAAGTAATGCTTCTCAAAGTCACTGGTGACTTACCAACGGCCCAATATGGACCTGGTATTGTGATACATAATGATTACCTTTATACAATAGGTGGGACAACGGGGTTCGATTATTCCTGTGATGTATTTCGTTTGAACCTTCAAACAAAAGTTTGGGAGAATGTGTATATATGTCGGCCGGAAATGAGAGACGATCCTGAGGGACGTTATAGACATGAAGTGGTGTACGATGGTCACCATATATACGTATTGGGTGGAGGTACATCTCACACTGTTTACGACCTGCAACGTATACCGGCGTTTAATTTGGAAACCAATCGGTGGGATTATTTTGATACGTTACCAGACCGAACTGCAGCATCAAACCAAGATCTCGGTTACCCAAAAGCAAGAAAATGTTTGTCCTGCGTCCAGCACACAGCCAGCAATGGTGATATTGAAGCATTCATTACTGGAGGTCTGCAGGTATGTTTTTGTTCATATTGGTGATTTTTAATTTGTAATAATTATCATTTGTCTGACTTTAGGGAGATTTTAACACATATTTCGATGATATATGGAAGTTAAATTTACGGACTAAGCAATGGTATAAAATACATACCGCAACACTACCACGCCCGCTTTATTTCCACTCAGCAGCACATGCCGGCAACGGGTGCATGTATATTTTTGGCGGAATCGAATACAACGAAGCTCAGAGGGACATGAGACGTCGCAATCACCTTTTCAAAATGTGGATGACAATTCCAAAGCTTAGTGATATTTGTTGGGACGCCATCACTTACTACAACCATAATCTTCATAAATTTGACCGTTCTACTTTATTGAATGCTGGTATACCTCAACGTTATGTTAACCGTTTACCCGTCTTACCAGAACGTATACGCAAACATGCATCTGATGAACCCTCATCGTCATCTTTCTTAAATGGCTTAACAAAAAGAATGCGTGCTCATCTCGAATAGAGTCCTTAATCGTTATATTCATCAGGTGTTTGTTATTTGCTTCTTTAGAGTTGATTGCGAATCATTTGCCATTTGTTTACAAAAAAATGTATTTTAATTATATTTTCGTTAAAGAAATTTATATTATAGGATAATATAAAAGAATGGAGTATCCACTTTTTATTTATAAAAAATATATATATTATATTTGCAACAGCAGTCATTTTGCAAAAACAAACTTTTTGGATACTTTAACTAATTAGAATTATAAAAATAAAATGAATTTATTTTTGCTACTTTTAAAATAAATTTCAAAAATAACCTACAGACTCCAGAGTAGAGCTGACAGGATTGAAATATAAGACAGAATTAAGGAATGTTGAGATAAAATTGAATACAAACACCAAGGAATGTACGTTATTATTGTTGTACATAAAATGTAACAAAGTAATTCATTTAGCTCTAAATTTGAGTTACATTATTCTTTAGCACGAAAAATACTTCGAGCTAAGGAGAACTTTAACCATAAAGAAAGAAGAAGATAAACAATCGGAGTTGTGCCTAAAATTGCTTCGAATCAAATATTGTGATTCAATACTAACCTGATTTTTTCTGTTAAATAAAATTTAAGTTCTTGAGAATTAGTAACTTGTTTTTATACAGTTTGTATGTGTTGGTACATTATTCATTGTTAGGTAAAATAACATTTTAGCTATAGGAATGTCGGTTTACTCAATAGTTTGGTACAAATTTTTATTTACTGTTGTTCGTTTACTCGAAAGACCAACCAAAGAGAGCAGATTTGACAGTTGTGTACTGAGAGTTTACCAATTCTAACAGCCTTACCTAAAATTCAACTAGCTCGTTCGACGTTTTTCACCACAAAAGTAGAATACATGTATTTGTATAAATATTACCAAAATACGTCGAACGTACAAAATTTCAAGTTGAACAATTTCAACTTTGACAGAACGTATTTTTAGTTTTTTTCTTTCGTTGCAAACAAAAACAAAACATTCTGGAAATTTGAAATTTCGAATGGAAACTAAAAATACGTGGATTAATTTAATACATTTTCTATTTTGTTTTGGTGTTTGTATTATTTGCTTGAAGATATGAATTCGACGTATTTGGGTAATACGGCCGTACACAACATTTTGCAAAAGTGGCGAAGTTGAATATTTTTTACGCCCCCTCGGATTTAGGTAACGTTGTTACAAGGAAATTTTACTGAAATTATTGAGCAGAAAATCTGATTACATATATAATAGTGTTCCATATTTTTCGATGCTTGGAGGATTGGGGCACGTTTTATTCAGTTTCATTAGATTTTCAAGATATCACTTAGTGTATCTTTCTGATGGTAATAATATGAGAATTATTGCTTCTTTCGATTGCATTTGAATATGTATACTATTGAGAAAATAACTTTTTCACAGAACTCATTCGTCTTGTTTTGTATAATCATTTGCAAAATCGACACGCTTCTTTCTGTTTGTTTGGTTAACAAGTGTTTATTTGCGGACAATGCGAGTATTTTTTTTTATCAATTAACCACTTTTTGGACTGCTGATTTGGTTCTGTTTATCATTTTACCAATTTCGGAATAGGATTTTCCCATTTAATGGTTATTATTTATTATTTTTCGCTCTTCAATACTTAGTTCTTTTCTAGGCATTTAAAAAATTTTTGCTTTCACTTGTTGCGCTAAGCAAATGCTTTTGGAAATGTGGAAAGTACCATTATTGTTTTAAGGGAACCCCCCCCCCCATTCCTGATTTTAATTTTTCAAGATTTTCAACGAGCTGGTAAATCGATACCAATGCTTGTTAAGATTTGTAACGTTGCACATATATATTTGAAGATTTAAAAAGGAAAAATACGTTCGACGTTTTTCACCACAAAAGTAGAATACATGTATTTGTATAAATATTACCAAAATACGTCGAACGTACAAAATTTCAAGTTGAACAATTTCAACTTTGACAGAACGTATTTTTAGTTTTTTTTCTTTCGTTGCAAACAAAAACAAAACATTCTGGAAATTTGAAATTTCGAATGGAAACTAAAAATACGAGGATTAATTTAATACATTTTCTATTTTGTTTTGGTGTTTGTATTATTTGCTTGAAGATATGAATTCGACGTATTTGGGTAATACGGCCGTACACAACATTTTGCAAAAGTTGGGAAGTTGAATATTTTTTACGCCCCCTCGGATTTAGGTAACGTTGTTACAAGGAAATTTTACTGACTGGGGATTTCATAATAGGTGTGTCTGGTTACTTTTCCAGTAACATTTATTCAGTAAGTTATAGTTTAGAGAGTTAGCCGCTTTTACTCTCTTTTGCGATAATATTGAGAAAAGTAAACAGACAATATTTAGTAAGATTTAGCAAATAAACAACTGATTCAAGAACACATTTGATTTGCCCCAAAATAAACAACAAACAAAGGACGAACACAATTATTTTTATTACAATTAATATTAAAAATAAAATGAATAATAAAAGAAAAATTGATTTGGTAAGTTCCCCGGGAACATTTAAGCTTCCTGCATCAATACATTGCCCTCTATCTGGAACTTGCCTAAAAATATACAAGGAACTAGCGGGCCCGGCAAACGTTGTCTTGCCTAGCAATATTTTTATCCTACACCATAAGGTGGAATGTACAGATCTTTGTAATACCTTGGTACCTTTATTAGAGCACACATAAAGCGGCATTAGCGAGTCTTCCTGCTATTTTTGCATTCTAAAGTTTCAGTGGTTATACAATTATTAATATTTGAATTCGTGGAAAAAAATTGTTTTTCGAATTTGATACATTTTTCCCAATATTTACAGTATTTTTCGGTTAATTGAACCTACGGTTAATTGGTTTCCACGCTTAATTGAACCACATGATGGGTCAAAAATATTGCATTTCAAAGTAAGCGGGTTCGGATAATTGGTTCCTCGGTTAATTGAACAAAAATTTGTGCAAATTTTGATGTGCAATTAACCGAAAAATACTGTATTTATAAGACTTTCTCATAACGGTAGCCCAATGTTAATTTAGCTTTTTTTCCCTCCACTCTTTAAGATAGAGCTTTGACGGTACGGTACGCACGATATTTAAAACAATTGATTCTAATTTAAGGCTACGTTTACACATAACCGGATTTCGTTAACCCAGTGGGTTTCAATTGTCATTTCCTTTGCATATTTGTCAAATAAATCTTCATAAAGTAGGTTAACCGGGTAAAAAAGTTCTAATGTATATGCCGTTTAATATTAGCGATAATTATTGAGCAGAAAATCTGATTACATATATAATAGTGTTCCATATTTTTCGATGCTTGGAGGATTGGGGCACGTTTTATTCAGTTTCATTCGATTTTCAAGATATCACATAGTGTATCTTTCTGATGGTAATAATATGAGAATTCTTGCTTCTTTCGATTGCATTTGAATATGTATACTATTGAGAAAACAACTTTTTCACAGAACTCATTCGTCTTGTTTTTATAATCATTTGCAAAATCGACACGCTTCTTTCTGTTTGTTTTGTTAACAAGTGTTTATTTGCGGACAATGCGAGTATTTTTTTATCAATTAACCACTTTTTGGACTGCTGATTTGGTTCTGTTTATCATTTTACCAATTTCGGAATAGGATTTTCCCATTTAATGGTTATTATTTATTATTTTTCGCTCTTCAATACTTAGTTCTTTTCTAGGCATTTAAAAAATTTTCGCTTTCACTTGTTGCACTAAGCAAATGCTTTTGGAAATGTGGAAAGTACCATTATTGTTTTAAGGGAACCCCCCCATAGGTTAGGTTAGGGATGTACGGCTGTTGTAACAACCGTCCACTCGGAAACTATGTCCATTGTGAACATCCTTTATGTATAGGTGTACCTATAAAGAGAAAGAAGAAAAGATAGTGAAGAGTAGAGAGAGAGGTAGTCAGAATGGGTGGGAGCGGAAGAGACATTATTTTAGCCAAGTCAATTTTTTGACAAAGCCTAGAATTAGGTTAGGGTCTATTTTGGAGAAGAAGACTAGATTATCAATTTCATAACATCCAAACTGTTTATGTCTTCTGCTGATCAGCGATGGACATTTGCAAAAGATGTGCTCAATTGTTTCCACTTCTTCTTCATCCTCACATAGACGACAGTAATCCTCTCCACTGGAGTCCCACTTAGAAGTGAGAGATCTAACTTTGCAGTGACCAGTAATGATCCCCACAACGATCTTAATCTCCCTCTTGTTGTGATCCAGCAGCGAAGACGTTCTTTTACGAGAGAATTCTGGCCAGATAGATTTAGAGATTCTGCATGCAGGTTCCCTTAGCCATCTGTTGCCGACTACCTCGCAATGGAACGCGCGGATTCTGCCAATGAAATAGCTAATAGGGGGTTTCACAGATCTCTCAATCAGAAGACTGGACGACTGTGACCCCCTCGAGCAAGCTCGTCGGCTATCTCATTCCCTTCAATATCGTTATGTCCTGGAACCCAGCATAACCCAACTATTTGACGTATATCATTCAGAGCGGTTTTACAATCATGAACTGCTTTCGAGTTTATAGTATGCGACTTCACCGCTTTCAGGGCCGCCTGACTATCTACGTAAAGTGCCTTCCTCCATCTTGGACCCGTCTGTGAAGATTGACAGATGATCGCTACCCGCAGATCTTCCGGAACCTCTTTCGGATCAGCAGAGTCGCTTTGCTCAGTTGTAGGTGTCTGGGCTACCTGCTTCGAGACAGCGTGTTTGGGTTTCACCCCAAAATCGCTGCTCTTGGCAGGTTTCTCCTTCGACGCTACCACCGAAGCAAAAGAAGCAGAGCTCTGTACGGCCAACGACTGCGTGGGCCTCTTTGCAGCAGGTTGTTGCTCCTCCGAGGACCTCATTCTCTTGACAGCCGTGGGCTGTGGCCGAGATTTGGCACCCGGGGTAGCAGCTACTGCAGAGGTATGCCCAGCAGACGCAGGCACCTGCTTCACGTTTGCTACCTTCTGCTTGACCACTAGCGACTGCCCAATTGTCACCGCCTTGGCTGTCAGCTTTGGCAATTCGGCAGAAGGTGGATTGACAGAGGGCGGTTGTGCCTTATCGGTCTTCTTGGAGGCCTTTTTACGGGCTCTCTTTCGGGCCGACTTC